GAGAGTTGGCATCAGCCCTTTGCTTGGCACAATTTATGGAAGAATAGACATGCTAAAGGGAACAACTCCACCTCGCTGAGACTAGGGCGGTTCGCGGCACCGGCTGAGCTCCCTTATCCCCCATGGGAACGGTAGCCAGGAGAGCTATGCCATGCGCCTCCTTTTCCTTCATGCTAAGGAAGAGGGCCCCGTATTTTTGGTGGCGAAGCTCGGCTTCGGCCTTACCCTCCTAGGTGCATGGGCAAATGGGTTATTAAGCAATGGAATCTTTGAAACTTGCGACCCCTCGGAAGGGGGCACCGACCTCTATACAGAAGGAATGCAACCGCAACAAAGGCACAAGATACGCAAAAATTCCATGCAAAGTAACTCATGATAGACTTTGGACCTCAGCAGCCTCCTCGGTTTTCGTAGACTCCTTCCCAGCAAACAAGCCCCTCGACTCACCCCGGTTCATCTCCTCGGACGCATTCCACACCTTGGCGGCCCTCTTTGCCTCTAGGTGCCCACATGCCCCTCTCCGGTGACCTTGCCCCTTCAGCTCGGGACAGATTCACCTTAGGCACTGCCTGCACCTCAGAGGACCCTTCTTGTTGAAAACGTCACCACCCTGGCTCAGGGCAGGTTCACCTTGGACAACAGCCGCACCTTGGCGGCCCCCTCGAGGCATCCGCATGCCCCTCCTCTCTGGTTACACCACCCTAGCTCAGAACATCCTCACCACAGATGCCGATCGTACCTCACCTCGAAGCATCATCACCCCAGGGGACAACCCCACCTTGGCGGCTTTCTTTCTGCCTACCTCTCAATGGGTGCACACCACTTATATATAGCGTCACCTTGGACGCCTGCAAATTTACATTTTCTACCCTCCTCGTATAAAAGCTGCAAGCCGATGGCATGACAAGCAACCCGCAGTGCCCAAGCTACCCTCCTGGCCGAGGTGCCCTCTCTAACAACTTGTCCTACTCAAGTAGTAAGCCGCTGGTGTTCAGCGGCATCTCTCGGGCACGGTCTAGGCCCTCAATGCTGATACCTACCACACACGCGGACAACACCTAATGCTGGAATTCATCTGGTGCGTGGCCACGACACACCCATTCATTGTCTACACCTCACTCGGTGGTAACTGACCTAAAGACAATGCTTGGCCCGCGCATGGACTCATAAGCTCATCCGATGCACGGGACTGGGGGGCACGCATGTCTCGTACCCATAGGAAACACGATATCGAGCTCTTTGGAGCCAAGGCCAACGCCTCCGCACTCTTCGGCCCTCCACAGCCTCCTCATGGAGAGGAATCAACACAACAGCTGACGAAAGCCCCTCGAAGCCAAGGACGACGTCTACACGCTCATGGGGCAGACTATCACCGACGAGGCCTTAGCCGTAGCCGATGTCTCCACACTCCTAGGCCGGGTTATCCTTGACAGCTACGATGTCGGCACCAGCACCTCCATGCCCGAAGACCGCTCTCTCCAACTTGGCTACATTCGATGTCCTTTTCGTAAAAGGCCACTCAGTGCCTCCCAACAAGAATGACACTCTCTTCGACTGAAGACAAGGTCCTCATCTAAGACTTCCACCATGGCCTCAAGAGTGGGGGGCAAATGATGTAGGCACTTTTGGCAGACCTCAAGCGTGTCGACACATGGCCGAAGGCGGAGGCAATCAGCACATCTTTAGGGCAGAGGTCGGCACCCAATGTGGGACAAATGGCGCGACCACACGTGGTGAGCTCGGATGGCCGCCTGCCTAGGACCGTGCCACATCTTGACCATCCACGTGGTCTATTATTAGATGACCTCAAGTATAAATAGGGTGCTCCCCTCTCCAGGTAAAGGATCCGGAACTTGATCCCAGATTCTCCTCTCCAAGCTCTATAGTTCTCTGGTTTCCTGGTGACCTCATCCCCCCCTTTTCATTTTGTTATGCCCCTACTAACTTGACCGTCGAAGTCCTTGCCTCGGGTTCACACCCGGGGCCTCTGACGTTTCCCTCGCAGGTACTCGACCTCG